TGTAAAGACTAGGCGATAACCCTCTACAATCGCAGTAGTCTGTTCGATTTTTCATCAAGAGCAACACAATAGCATGTTCTATTAGACCGCGAGTTTATTAGGCTTGAAGTTCATTACAAAGGAGTTCAGCAGCCAGTGGATCCATTAGAGCAGAAGTCAATCACAGCAGCAGTCAGTCCATTAGATCCTTCACTCATTACAGCATCAGAGTGTGACCCTGCTGCTGTTAGAGGATGACAGGCGCTCCACAAGGTGTTTCGGCAGTCATTGTCCTTGTTTAGTGATGCATGCACTTTATATGGTACAAGACTGAATGGCTTGTTTGTTCAGACTAATTGTTGCATGTTTGTAATTATCCAAAAAGCTCAAGCAAGAGCAGTTGGCAAAATTTGGAAGAGACGAAAATGACTATAAGGAGCATAAGGTATACACATGGTCACAAAGGAATGTAAAGACTCATAGAAAGAGATCAGTGTCTTTTCATTTACCGAGTAGTGATGAAGACCAATCAGCAGTGGAGATTTCACCCAGAAGAGATTTTTTAGGAAACAAGGTGTCCTTTCAATTGCATTCCAGTAAAAATCCTAGTCATATAGCATATGTCGAGCATTTACAGTATCATAGAACGTTGAGTAAAGTGATCGAATTGAAGAGGAAAAAAACGAATAAACGAAAATAGAAATATAATCAATAACAGGCTAATAATAATAATAATACGGAAAACAACCATGTTAAATTTTTGCTCATTGTTGTTAATTTAACACCACTTACCTGTCTTAAACTGTCCTGATCGTCCATTTTGAAGCGCTTAATTAGCCAGAATAGCGTGTTTGGTGCCTGGTCCCACACTGATTGTAAGGCAAAACGTGATTGGTTGGAGCGAGAACACGCTACGATTGGTCGGCGCCACGTGACCAGTATCTGATTGGCTTAAGTAGAAGAGGGGTGGAGTCCATCCATTTGTGGATTGGTTTGCCTCTTGACGCTTGAAATGTCTCAAAATCCACAAATAAGCGCAACGATTTACAAATGCACAGGGAGCTATCCACAAATGCATGCAGCGATCTACAAATGCACAGGACGCGATTCACCAATGAATGCCAGGCAAAGTTGTGTTTGTGACATAAAAATATATCTGTGAATATGTTTTTTTATTTGCAAATCTCATTTTATTTTTTGTGTGAATTGAATTCTTGTTTGTGAAACTCTAAGATTTATTTGTGGATCTCATTCTATTTATTTATCAATACATTTTATTTTTGTTAATCTCTTTACATTTATTTGTGGATCATAATATATTTATTTGGAATTATGCAACGATTCTACCCCCATATGCACTTGTCACCTGTTCTTAAAACTTATAGCCATGATGAAATAAAGGCTTTTTAAAACTTTTTGAATAAGATTCAAGTGCCTTGAACTACTATTATTCTTACGAGTAATTGTTGCATGTATTCATTGTCTTTCAACGGTCAGGAATACTTGACTCTGATTGGTTAATCATGGCCTTCTGTCAAATATGTAAGGGATAATGTACAGCAAACTGCTTTCAATTACTGTTATTTCAGTATAATTAATAGTATTATAGTATGATTATTATTAATTATTTTGAATTTAGTTTTTTATATATTCTGTTTTCATTTTAGTGTAGGTTTTAATAGTTTTGTTGTGTGTTTTTGTCAGTTTTATTAGTTTTGTTGTTGTTTTTTGTTTTTTTTAGTAAACGGAAACTATATTGGCAACTAGCTGCAGTATTTTTCAATGAAAGTATAACTTAAAGATTATAAAATTAATTAACATAAATGTTTTTAAATAATTGTAGTTAATGGCAAAACAAATTTTTATTTAATCTAAATGAATTAGAAATATTGCCTTGGCAACAACCTGACATATTAAATGAAAGTGTCATAACATAGCGGTTAGCAGATCAATGAATGAGAGGGCAGCGTTACCAGAGTTGCCCATATACCACACCATGTTACAACACAGTAGGGCTACTGCAGACAGAAACAATACTGTACTACATCCATGTTTCCTGTCGGCTCAATTTTTGAGTGGACTTTGCTGTTCCGATTCGCATGAACGGTATACGAGTGGAGCGACTGAGCGGAGCGCACACGCATAGAGCGGGATAATACGCAGAGCGTCACACCACGTGAAAGTGAAACCTGAGCGGTGAACTAATTTTCGGCAGTCGAAATTTCGGTGCATCTCTAATTATTGGCGACATCAGAAATGGATATTATATAATAGATGCTTTTTTGAACATTTTGAATCCTTCAAAAAATTATTTTTTACACAGCACCCCTGCTCTCGACAGACGGCACTGCTTTAGACAACTACAAAATTGTGAGTACTATCAGCGCCTGAAACTTAATCCAATAGAAAGTACTAAAAATGAATTGACTGACATTTTATTACATGCTGAAAATGAGGGATGGATTTCAAAAAATGAACGTGATTTTCTATTTTTTAAAGATCCTAGGATTCCTACTTTTTATATGCTTCCAAAAGTACACAAACATCTGGAAAATCCACCAGGGAGACCTATAATTAGTGGTAATGGGTATATTACAGAGCTGGCTTCAAAATTTGTACATTATTTTATTAAACCATTGGTTAGTGAACTCACCTCATTCATTCAAGATACAACTCATATATTGAATATCGTTAAAGAAATGAAAACTACAGAATCATCTATACTGGTGACTATGGATGTTGAATCATTGTATACGAATATATAGACCATAAAGATGGGCTGGAAGCATTATCATACTATTTAGATATGAGACAATCTACTGAAAAGCCACCGGCATGTTTTATTATGCAATTAGCAGAATGGACATTAAATAACAACTTCTTTCTTTTTCAAGATGAATTCTATAAACAAATTAAAGGTCCAGCAATGGGTGCCTGTTTTCCCCCAAATTATGGAAATGTGTTAGGATTTTGGGAAAATAAATTTGTATTTTCTGATTCAAATCCATATTTAAAGAATGTGATGTGGTGGGGTAGATATATAGATGATATCATTTTGATATGGATAGGTTCAGAAGCAGATCTGTTAGTGTTTCATTCATACTTAAATAATAACAATGTGTATTTTTAATATTCAAAGACTCAAAGATTTCAGGAACGAGGTACAAAAACAGGGTGATCAACATGGCATTTAATAAAGCAAGAAACATCAGTAGAGATGAGTTATTAGTACAAAAACGTAAATCACAAGATTCTGATAATTCGGTTTATTTAGTTACAGAGTACAGTACAGAAGCGAATAGAATTAAGAAAATTATAAAAAATAATTGGGAAATTGTGATGAGTGATCCCCATCTCAGGGAAGTCATGCCTGAATCTCCCTCCATTGTATTCCGGAAAGCACCTACGATTAAAGATAAAATAGTGAGAAGTCATCTTTCCTCTAAGAAATTAAGCACCTGGTTATGCAGGAAATTACAGATGTGGCAATTGCAATCACTGTGACAATATGGTCAAGACAAATATGTTTAAAGATGTAACTTCACACATTGAATTTAAAGTTAAATCATTTATTAATTGCAATACCTCATTTGTAGTGTATGGGTTAGAGTGTCCATGTGGTTGTTTCTATATACGGATGACTACAAGGAAATTAAAGATCAGATTAGCAGAACATAAGAATGCCATTCGAGTTTGTAACCCTTTGTATCCTATGGCCCTTCATTATAAAGAGAAAAATCATGGTAGCCCAAGTACATTGAAGATAATCGGAATAGAACATGTCCCCAGATCAATAAGAGGAGGTGATAGGATCAATAGGCTTTTACAGAGAGAGTCTTTTTGGATCTATATACTGAAAGCAACTAGACTTCCAGGCTTAAATGGGGAATTAGACCTTGTACCTTTTTTGTAATAAGAATTCAGATCTGGAAGTATTATATTGTTGATCTTATGTTTTTTTTTGTTTTTTTTTAAAGACATTTATACTATGTACATACATTGATTTGTGGAGTCTGATTTATATATTTAAGTATTTTTTTATTTTTTTATTTTTTCTCCTTTATACATGATTATATTGTGTTTGATTTAATTTGATATGTAATCGTCGAACTTCCT